CACACACACACACAGACAAACACACACACACAAAGAGAGAGAGAGAGAAAGAGAGATGGAGGAAGAAAGGAAGAAAAAAAATAAGCCATTAGAAAAAATATTATGGCAGAAGAGGACATCTAATGTGGGATTCCCCTCTGTATGCTTTTAATATGTTTTATTGCCATTAGTTAATAAACAAGTTGTTTTCCATCAATAGCTTAACAGTGTAAAGCCAGGCTTGAAGAGCTATATACAGAGAGTAGGTGGAGTCAAAAAAAGACATTTAGATGTCCCCAGAAGACAGACACACCAGTACCTTGCCAATAAGCCACACTGCCATGGCGATTCTGAGATTAATAGAAATGGGTTAATTTAAGATTTAGCCAAAAGTACACTTAAGCTATAGACCAAATAGTATTGCAAATAATATAGTTTCTGTGTGATTATTTCAAGTCTGCGCAGTCTGAAAATGAAATAGCAGCCTCCAACAACAGATTGGTGTGCCAATGTAGGGCTGATTACATCCTTGTAAAACCTGAGAAAGCTTGAAAATGAATTCTAGACACAAAGGAAAAGAAATAAGAATGGCTTCTTGGTAGCTGGCATTTATTTTTTGGATGGGCTGAGTTTGTTGGAGGTGAGCAGGAGCACCGTGGTTCCTTTAAAATAGCTTTTCTTGATTCGGCAGGAGCAAAAAAGAAGTGTGGTTTCAAAATGGAGGTTTCCTGGTGTGTGCTGTCAGCATGAACTCTGTCCCTTTCAGGAGGCCAAGCACTTGAATAGGGTTTATGAGCAGCGTGCTGCAAGTTATTTGGTGGCAACATGGGCCAACCGGTTACCAGAGTTGAGCAGTGAGCATGGCTCCCACCTGATAGTCTCAGATGCAGTGAACAGACCTCTGCTGTTTGGATTAGGTGGAGACAAAATGCAAAGCAGCCTTAGGCCTAACCACAAAATTTTGCATTTAAGAAGCAGTCCTCATCAGAAAAGGATTACAGATACATAATAAAGACAAATTCAAATGAAAACGAACTCTAAATGGGTCACAGTGTTGGATAACTACACAGAGATATTTCATTGTACCGACTGCTAAGGTAAACCAACATACAAATTTTAAAGGTATCTTGACTTCAAAATTTGGGTATAAAGATTTGTTGTCTTGGAAAAGAGATTCTTTTATTTCCACAGAGGATCAGAACTTGTGGATTCCTTCCAGACTAATGTGGTTTGATGGACCAAGATCCCCCAAAAAGTTACTGTGAACACCCCTACCCCAAATTATTTCACACAACAAAAAGCAGGAAGTAGTGGAGAGAAATACATCCTAATTCCCTAAATGATTGTTTATAAATGTGTTTACATTTAAAAGGGGCTATGCTATAGAGATGGGTACTTTGCATTAGTATAGATCTTTGTTCAATGATACAAATTTTAGGTCAGTTAGGTTATTTGCATATTTATACTCTTGATTAAAGTGTGTGTTTGTGCAGTTCATTTAAAAGTGTAGTGTACAATTAAGAAATATATTCTAGTAACAGTCATCTACAATGATCAAGATTGTCATCATGTTAGTTAGGTTTTCTAGATATATAGCACCATAGAAGCTTCATCTGGCGATGGATGGAGATAGAGACAGAGACCCACATTAGAGCAATGGACTGAACTCCCAAGGTGCAAATGAGGAGCAGAAGGAGGGAGAACATGAGCAAGGAAGTCAGGACCACAAGGGGTGCGCCCACCCACTGAGGCGGTGGAGTTGATCTAATGGGAGCTCACCAAGGCCAGCTGGACTGGGACTTAAAAAGCATGGGATCAAACCGGACTCCCTGAATGTGGCAGACAATGAGGGCTAACTGAGAAGCCAAGGACAATGGCACTGGGTTTTGATCCTACTGCATGGACTGGCTTTGTGGGAGCCTAGTCTGTTTGGTTGCGCACCTTCCTGGACCTGGATGGAGAGGGGAGGAACTTGGACTTCCCACAGGGCAGGGAACCCTGACTGCTCTTGGACTGGAGAGTGAGAGGGAGAGGATGGGGGAGGGGGAGGGAAATGGGAGGTAGGGAGGAGGCAGAAATTTTTTAATAATAAAGAAGTCTCATAACAAGAGCAAAAAAACTAAAAAAATAAAAATGTAGTGTATAATTAAGAAATATAGGCTAATAACAGTCATCTACAATGATCAAGATTGTCGTCATGTTAGTTAGGTTTTCTAGATATATAGAGATATATTTCAGTTAGATAGATAATCTTCAAACCTTTCGAAGACTAACAGAATATGACATTTAAAATGTTTAAAAAACTTAAAACTTTTCATGACACATTTGCTCCTGGCAGCACCAATTTACTTTAAGAGGATGATGGACATCAAAGAGTCTCCTCATGGAGTTTGTTAATCATTTGGGCAAGAAACTGCTCTTGCCAGAACTGCGTGACTGGACTTGCAGAACCCATAGAAAAATGACTACTGAAGTTGTCTAAAGAAGGTGAGACAGTCTTTCAGGGTTCCTGTGTCATGAATGAGTCTGCCAGGCATTCTGCAGGAAACAGAAGAATGTGACTGACAAACTACCAATATACGTGGAACTGTCTTTGAAATTTCCTGCTTCATGGAAAAGTCTGCCGGATACTATGTGCCTGTGGACTGGAAATGGGAAGCCTCATAGTTACAGAAGAAATATGGGTGACTGTCCAGGCAGCGAGATGTCTCTGTCAATTCTGGAATTATAGAAATTCCTTACAATGCACTTCCTGTTTACTTACATAATATATCCTTCTGGAATCTTTACTGTCTTTGAAGGAGTTGAAGAATAGGTAGTTACAATTATAGTGTTATTTAGTTAAGATAAAAGATAAAGTAGATGTAAATATTGTAACTATAATTCTTGCTTGATAACTGTTTTGTTGTATGCAATCTTGTTTTGTTAAAGTTAAAACCTTGCTTTTTAATTATACAGAAATGGGGATGTAATGTGGGACTCCCCTCTGTATGCTGTTAATCTGTTTTATGGCCATTGGTTAATAAAGAAGCTGTTTTCCCTTCATGGCTTAACAGAGTAAAGCCCGGCTGAAAGAGATAGAGATAGAGAGAGAGTAGGCAGAGTCAGAGAAAAGTTATGTAGCCCCCCCCCGCACAGGAGACAGATGCACCGACATCTTGCCAGTAAGCCACAGCCATGTGGTAATACACAGATTAATAGAAATGGGATAATTTAAGATATAAAAGTTTGCCAGAAATATACTTAAGCTATTGACCAAACAGTATTGCAAATAATATAGTTTCTGTGTGGTTATTTTGAGCCAGGGAAGTTGGGAAATGAACAAGCAGCCTCCATCAACACATATCAGTTCAGACTAACCACACCAGACCTCTCAGAAAAGTCTCACAAATCACACATAATTCCCTGGAAAGAAATACTATTGTGAAAAATATGATATTCTTGACCAGACTATGTTGAGCTAGGTAGAAAATTCTTCTGCTGAAGGCACAAGTCTCACACCATCCACCACCAGTTTGTCAAAAGCCCACAGCGGATCATCCAATAACCCCAGACTATATATAGTTGGGTGGGGGAACTGTCCAGCATCACTCACAGAAAAAAGGCTGACAAACTGCTACTCTGGCTTCTATTACTGTAAACCAAGAGTTGGGCAATGGGAAGAGAAAATATTGGGATGCAGGAAGAAAGGAGAGGGCCGCATGTCAAACACATCCATGATGGTGAGAAGCACTCATTTGGCACATGCATGGGGATCTCCTCCTTGCAAACTGCTTCCCACCTGTGATCTCACAAGACTCCTGCTGAGCGAATGAGCCCCAGAACCAGGAACTCACTTACTCAAAGCTCTGTGCACAGAATGCTAACTATAATAATGACATGTAGGTGTATGCTATGTTATTGACTCTTCTCCTTCACTGGAGTGCAACTTCAAACAGAGACTCAGGAAGGCTAACGTCCCAGAAGTACTTGTGCGAGGACACTGAAATGAACACCCCAGGTAGCATGAGGTGGGTGACTGGATGGGAACATGGATAAGTAAGGTGATGGGTGAAAGCACAGGTGGGTAGATGGGCAGAGAGGCAGTCAAATGGGCAAACTGTGACCGACTTTACCCTGACTTTACCCTGCCCCTACCTTTTGTTGCTGGGTCTTGAGGCCACTAGTCTCTTCCTCTCGGTCCTTACAGATCACATTCAAGACCTCCACGTGTGCTTCAGTAGGAGCCAGTCATCCAGTCATCCAGCAGTTTCATTTTCTCCTGCCTTAGCATGTATAACTTCTTCTCCAGTTGAGTCTGCTCCATTAGGAGCCAGCTGTGCAGACTGTTGGAGACACTCTGCATAGTAAGATCCTGCCAGCAACTTTCCTGCCACCCCTGCCCCCAGGAATCCCTGCCTCCAGCTAGCAATCTCTTTCACATGTAGGAATACTAGGTCCAAGAGACACAGTCCAAGACTGCATGCTAAGGCTGCTTGCTAAGAAGCAGAAAGGCTAGAACCAGATTGGGTATGCTTCATTCAGAGAAAAGTAAAGGCAGAGATGGCCATTTCACAACTTTTTGGGTCCAGGTCAAGATGGGCACTTACTGATAGAAAACTGTCTCCTTGGTCAGCTCACCAAACTTCTCTGAGGTATCAGTGTAATCAACCTCCAAAGTCCTTAGTTCTGACACGACCTGTGCATGCTCCAACTTCAGCTTTTCATAGAAAGGATTTGGCTTGTGGTAGGGCCTAGAAACAGGAGGAAAGAACCTTGTGAACAGAGGCCTTTGGGATCATGGGAACTCATGCTGTATCCTGGTCTACCGCAGTCCAGTGAATGCCACATTCTGCATCCTATGCACAGGGACCTCCTGGTGATTTTAAACTTGTTATCCTGGCACTAGATCAGCTGGCTTCACAGATGGAGGATGCTATGGAGGCATGTGTTCACTGAGTATGCTTAGAGATTCAGTGGAGCTCTCAATGTTACCAGGGTTTATGCTACAAGCCTTGCCACACCAAATATTGCAATGACGCTTCTCCCACTTCAGAACAGCGATTTTAGGTCCCATGTGACTATTACACAGGATAGTGATATAAACTCTCACAAGGGATTCCTAGGGGTCATGAAGGTGAGTATGAAGGACAAGAGCTGTGCTGCCTAAAGTGGGGTCTTCTGACCTCAGCACTAGCACCACTTGGAAATTGGTGCAGGCAAATCCTCATGTCCCTTACAGACCCCTGGATCCCAGAGTCTCTATGGACAAACAAACCTGAAAATGCATGTGCACACACACACACACACACACACACACAAACAAAAATAAAAACATAAACACATTAGTGAGAGGAAGAAGAGAGGTGGAGGGAGGAAGAGGGGGGGACCATGTTTCTATGCTAAAGAAATTCATGGAGCATTATTGTTTAAGAGTATGAGGCACAAAGCTAGAGAGAAACTGTGATGAGTCCCAGGACTCCTAGTCATGCACACAGATGGACAAAGTGGGAACAGGTCTCTCCAGCTGCTACCAGGAGCTTCCAGTACACAATCAGCTTTCAGGCAAGTTTGAAGACTCACACAAATTCACAGCAGCTAGCATCTCACCCAAGCCACCACCTGTCAGGTCCTTCCCAAATGCATCCAGGGAAGTGCACATTACTATCTCAGTCCCTTCGTTGTGTCACTCAGACCACAGGCTCTGGTTTTCATTTGGAGAAAGAAGAATAGCTAGAGTCACCATCTCCCTCCCCACAAGCTACAGGTCTGCCTCTACTGAGAAGAATTTAAGAGATGGGTCACACTGGAGGTCTGGGACCTGAGAACCCAAAACCTTAAAGGAAAAAGGTGAGGGTGACATTGCTGAAAATCCCATGAAGACTGAAACAATGCATACCTATTGTCCATGGTATCTTCACTGATGAAGGTCAGGTGATCTTGCAGCTCATTTCTTTGGCTGGTGATCAGCTGCAGTTCTGTGGTCAGCCTATCCACTTCCTGCTTCATCTGATTCTTGGTGAGGAGCATTGGGTGGGATTTTGGCTTCATAGCAGCATCTGTGGGTACACAGAACAAAAGTGAAACTGCACAGGACAAGGCAGAGAGGACAGACAGACCACCCTGAGGCCCAAACAGAAAGATCAATTTGGAACCAAGTGACAAACCAAATTTTTTTGGCCTGGTTGAGTTGCTCCCTCTGTGGATGCAATCTTTTCCATCACTATGTAGAGATGTGGCTACATAAAAAGGCAGGGGTTTTCTCTGCCTCCCTACACACGTTTCAGGTAAAAACAGAGACCACCTCTTCAGGCTTATTCACAGCAGCACAGGATGCAACATGGCCCAGGGCCCTGAATCCTGACTGTGGTTTCAGAAACCAGGAGAAAAATGACAGAGTACACAAGCACTCAGGTTCTGTGAGGAGCCCATATCTCCTGCCTGGAAGGGCTGTGGATTGAGAAGTCATTCAGGGGCAAAACACGATCAGCAGACTCACTAAGTCGCCCCACTGACAGTCCAGAACATGGAAGCTGGCATCAAAGAGTCGAACTCTGCTCTAGTATCATGCCTCTGAGAGTTGTTTGGCTTGCCCTAGAGAACTGGCTGCCCCCCTCAACTGCTGATCAGACCCCTAAGTGGGCCACTATCAGTGAGAAGTGGTCAGAGAAATTCTGCTGTACAGTCTGAGGACACAATGTCTTAGCCAGAAGCACTTTTCTCTCCATGTGACTAGTGTCAGAGAGCCACTGAACCTAAAGGAAGCTACTGAGCGTGAAGTGCAGTAAGGCGTGTCCTAAAGCGGGGACACATTAGTGCCTCCCTGCCTTCTGCTGTTTGTTCTCCTTCTGTCCCCTAATTATATACCCAAACTCCAATAAATGAAAAAGCTAGATACTCCCACATAACAGTTTTGGCATGGCCAGCTCCTAGATTAGGGAACAGACAAACTAGTGTTCTAGAGTCTTTGACTTTTAGGAGTTAAGGTAAACAGGAGAGCCCATTTGCATCTCAGAGTCTCTAACTCCTCTGCCCCACTACCTCAAGCTCACCTCCTCCAGGAAGCTCAACATCTCCTGCCAAGGACTCACTGTTTCTATGCCAGAGCCATTCGTTTGATCTTGTTTTACTCTTCTGCATCTCTCTGCGCTCTGGACGATCACCATTCTCTCCCCCAAGTAGACTCCTCAGTCTTGACAACAGCTCTAATGGCGTACCCTACAGGCACTGAAGGAATGGCCTAAGGGCAGTTGGTATTGCAACATCACTGGTGGCATCACAGGATTCCAGGAGCTTTCCAGGATACAATAGATTATGCAAAAAAGAGACTGCTGCTGTCATGGGGAACAACCTTTGCCACCGTGCGAATTAGCTTTCCAGAAATGACCAGAAGCCCAGGTTCCCTTTCCAGGACCCTCTCTCGGAACATAGGAGAAGATCTTCAGCACCTCTTCATTCTACAGCTAGAGTTTCCTTAGCTTAATTGGAAGGCCCATAGTACTTTCCATTTTGAGAAATAAGCTATGCTTTTCAAATAGTGCCCAGAAACTTCTTATTCCTTCCCTAAAATCACTCTGTTCATCAATGTGAGAATTAAATATTCCTGAGAAGCCATGTTAGGATAAACGTGGATGAGAAAACATCATGTTCCTGAAGTACGAGTGTTTGAAAACAGATACAGAAGAACCTGCAGGACTAGCGGCTACAGTGTAGGATTTGGTTTAAGGGTACAGTCATAGAAGCCATAGGCTTAGATTTAGAAAACTGTCCCACGTGCACTTAGAGAATGCACTCAGCAGGCTACTGGCAAAAGTGTGATGATCCATTGGCAGAGGAAAGCTGAAATAGTGGATCCGCCATGATGAAAGGCCTCGGGCTGAGTGTGCTGCTCTCCACACTGCATGAAAGACACCAAAGCAGGATTAGTTACAGGGCTCTGTAAGTTATAGCGAGGTTCTGACTAATGGAGGAAAAAGAAGGATAGCGGGAAAATAAAGACAACAACTGTAGACACATCTCAGTTGGCAGAGTGCCTGCCTAGCATGTAGCAAGTACTGTGTTCAATGACTAGTGCTGTCCTCACTGGTCTTGGTGGTTCCACTTATAATCTCAGCACTTGTGAAGTGTAAGTAGGATGATCTAAGCTCAAGCGGGACCTGCAAAGCCAGTGTGAAGACAGCTTGGGAGACATTAGACCCTTCCTCAAGAAATAAAGCAGAAACAAGCCCGACCTTTAAGGCCTCACTTCCCAATCCTTTCTAATAAAAAAACTTACCATTCTCCCTAACAGTCTTTCATCTTATGGAGATGTATTGGTAGGTGGAGTTATCTTTGTAATTTAAGGGCATTGCTCTTGCCTTTCCTTAGGTCCACATAGAGGTCAAATGAAAGTGGGTTTGGCCATCTTATCTACTGAGTAACATCCACTTCTTCTAGCATAGTGCAATGCCTATGACAAACTCATGTAACTATTGGCTATAAAAAAAAACCAGAACAAGTGGCTGAGAGATGGCTCAACAGTTGAGAGCACAGGCTGCTCTTCCAGATGCCCTGAGTTCAATTCCCAGCAACCACAGGGTGGTTTGCAACCATTCCCAGTGGGTTCTGATGCCATCTTCTCTTGTAAAGGTATGTGTAGATAAAGCACTCATTTACAGAAAATAAACAAAAATAGAATAAACAAAGCAAATAAGACCATAGTTTCCATTTTGACCATATCCATTTTTGACTTGTATGACATTCTAAAAGCATAGCAAACCTGCCCTCTAAACATTAGACGCTGCCTTATTATCAAATCACAGGCATTCATGAGCAAAGGGACAACTGGTCCCAAATAAACAAGCCAGGGAGCAGCTACCTGATGGTCTTGCAAGCTTGATGATCTCTTTGATTCATGACATACCACAGCGATGTTCATGGAGGCTACCCCTGCAAAGTAGAACACCTTCAAGGTCACCTGGGTGCCTGGTTCATCAATGCTCTGTACACAGAGTGCACCCAGTGCACAGCCAGGCTGCATCTCTGCCCTAGAAGACAAGGGCACAAAAGAGGATAGGATGCAGCAGTTGAAAGGACAGAAAAATTGTTGGGTACAGGTTTCTGGGTAATGCCTCTTTTATTGTTTGTATTGACCTGTACATTGTTCTGTAACATGAGGGGGCCGGCTTGTTGGGGTTTCCGTCCTGCCCGGTACCCCACAGCCGGCAAATCACAAAGAGAAATCACACACAGGACTCCATAAGGTTATAAACTGATTGGCCCATTAGGTCAGGCTTCTTATTAGTCCTTGTAACTTATATTAATCCATTATCATTATCTACATTAGCCACATGGGCTCAGTACCTTTCTCAGTGTGAGAGCTTACATGTTGCCTCTTGGGTGGTCTGCGCAGGAGTGGCAGAGGAACCTCCCTGCTTCCCAGAATTCTCCTGTTCTCATTGCATTACTGCTACTTCCTGTTTGGTTTTCCTGCCTATACTGCCTGCCTGGCCAATCAGCGTTTTATTAAAATATGATTGACAGAATACAGACAATTCTCCCGCATCATTGTTCTATGCTCCCCTCCCTTCCTCTACTCTCTCTTTTTACCCTTTCCTGTGACCGCCATGCTCCCAGTTTACTCAGGAGATCTTGTCTTTTTCTTCTTCGTATGTAGATCCACCTATATCTCTCTTAGGGTCCGCTTTGTTGTCTAAGTTCTCAGTGGTTAATTCCTCTCAAAGAAAATTACAGATTCTGTTGGTCTCAGGATGGAAAAAGCAGTCAGTCAGGCAATGTTTGTGCCAGAGGAACAGGTTTGCACAGACTAGGAACAAGAGCCATGAGGCAAGCAAGACAGTCAGTGGGGCAGAGAATTTGACTGAATTCTGTGTGGTCGGCATGTGAATGGCACAGGGAAAAGTCCACTGTGTGAAGTAGTTTGAAGTGGTCTGCTCTTACTGGGCATTAAGGTAGTCAAAGTACTAAAATCTTGTAAAAGGAGTTCTGGGCTGCTTTTCAATCTTTTCCGGCTCCTGGCCGCCTGGCTAGCTTTATCCAAAATAATTATGTCACTCTGTTGCAAAAGGAGCGGTGGGCGGCATTCCCGCTGGGATCCCAGCTCCCTGGCTAGTTTACACCCAAAACAATTACACAGAAACTGTATTCATTTAAACACTGCATAGCCCGTTAGTTCTAGCCTCTTATTGGCTAATTCTCACATCTTGATTAACCCATTTCTAATAATCTGTGTAGCACCACAAGGTGGTGGCTTACAGGGAAAGATTCAGCATATCTGACCTGACGGCTGGCTCCAAGGCGTCTGCATGACTCTACTTCTTTCTCCCAGCATCCTGTTCTGTCTACGCCGCCTATCTAAGCTGCTGTCCTATCAAAAGTCAAGACAGTTTCTTTATTAAACAATGAAAGTAACACACAGACAGATGACCCTCCTACATCACTGCGCTCCAATGTGGTAACTAATTCACATAAAACCTAAGAGGGCTTAAAAAGGAATTCTAGACACAAATATAGAGTTGAACACAGCTTTTTGCTGTTTTCTAGGGCGTGCTGTAGAGAAATCCCTGATTCAGCAACAGCAGCAGAAAAAAAGCTGCACAGTTTTAAAATGCAGCTTCCTGGGCTGTGCTGCTAGCGCGAACTCCAGCTATAAAGCATTTCAACGGCTTTTATGGAACTGGATGTTTGTGTTCCCGCTCGGGATCGGAAAGAAAGTACTCTGAGACCATGCCAATGGCTCAGCACTCCCTGCCTGTACCTGGGCAGATGGCGGAATCAGGCTTAGACAGGAGGAAGAGCATGGCGGATTTCTGCCACCATACACAGAGATGTTTCCAGGCTACGCAGTGCTGTGCCTGGTATTTGAATGTAACTGAGATAAAAAGCTCATTCTCAGAGTTAAAGTACTGAGTGTGGCTCCTACCTGGAGACAGAAAAAAAAAGGAAGAAAGAAAGCCACACAGTTTTAAAACACTGGCTTTCTGGGCTATGCTTCTACCATGACCTCTGTCTCTTAGGGAAAAAGAAAATTTGGATAGGGTTTTGTGAGTAAAATGCTATGACTTGCTTGATGGCAAACTGCACTCACTGTGTGCCTGAAAGGGGAGCACTACACACGGCTCAGAGGCACAAATGACTCAGAGGCACAAGCAGCTCCACCAGGCTAGCTGTGCAATGTGCAAGGCTCAGAGGCACGAGCAGCTCCGCCATGTTGGACAGGGTGGGGCAAGCCCACAGTACCTGTTTTTGACCTAGGAATGTCACAGCTGAGATTCTTAAGCACTTAGCGATTTAAAACTGCAAAGCAAAAATGTTCCTGACAGATAAAATCACCCAGCTCAGTTGGCTTGCAGGCTGGGACTGGGCTGGAAGTACAACCCAGCAGGAGGGAGTGCCTGTGTTTCAATAGCCTGCCTGCCGGTGGTAGAAAGGTAGGCCCTGCATCAGCTCAGCAAGAATCCTGGCCAGTAAGGGGCGATGATCCTCTAGCAGAAGATTCATCAGAGGGGGGAACCTGAACCAGTACCAGAAGATCCATTAGAGAACATTTGAAGGATGAGATGAGCAGACGCCAAGGCAAAAATTCCTCCAAAAATCTGAAAGACAACATGAAAACACCAGATCCCAGCGATCTTACTACAGAAGGACTTGAACACCCTGTTCCAGAAGAAGTGGAAAACAGTGTCATTATGAAAGCAATAGAATCCCTTAAACAGGGTATGAATAACTCACTTAAAGAAGTAGAAGTATAACAAAAAGATTAAAGAAATGAGTAAAGAAATGGAAGAGAAATGTAACAAAAGG